CATAGAACAATAATTCTACCGATCCTTCAAATTGACCATTTTTAGACGAACACATTATGCCACAAATGATATACCAAATTAAAGTGCAATCATAATGCTCTAAGCTGATGCATAAATGACTGTCATAGCATGAAAATTGTCAAAGTTATTCACAACCATATCGGAACCTCAAATTACCGCCTTTTTAAACCTGGGAAAATAATTCTACCGATCTATCCAATTGGCCATTTTCTAAAAATACATTATGCAATAAATTATATACCAAAACAAATGGCAATTTTAATGCTTTAAAATGGTGCATAAACGACTGTCCTAGCACGAAAACTGCCATTTTTTAGGCGAACACATTATGCCACAAATGATATACCAAATAAAAGTGCAATCATAATGCTCTAAACTGATGCTTAAATGACTGTCATAGCATGAAAACTGTCAAAGTAATTCACAACCATATCGGAACCTCAAATTACCGCCATTTTAAACCTGGGAAAATAATTCTATCGATCTATCCAATTGGCCATCTTCTAAAAATACATTAGGCAATAAATTATATACCAAAACAAATGGCAACTAAAATGCAAGAAAAAGATGTATAAACGACTGTTATAACATGAAAACTATAAAAGTTATTTGCAACCATACCGGGGCCTTAAATTACCGCATTTTTAAACCTGTACCAATAAATATACCGATCTATCCAATTTTTGTAAAAATTCATTATGCCACAAATTATACACAAAAACAAAGTGCAACTGTAATGCTTTAAAATGATGCATAAATGACTGTCATAGCATGAAAACTGTCAAAGTTATTCACAACCATATAAAATAATTCTACCGATTTATCCAATTGGCCGTTTTCTAAAAATACATTATGCAATAAATTATATACCAAAACAAATGGCAATTTTAATGCTTTAAAATGATGCATAAACGACTGTCCTAGCACGAAAACTGCCAAAGTTAATTGCAACCATATCGGAACCACAGATTACTGCTTTTATTAAACATAGAACAATAATTCTACCGATCTATCAAATTGACCAATTTGTAAAAACACACATTATGCTACAAATTATATACCATATTAAAGTGCAATCATAATGCTTTAAAATTATGCATAAATGACTCTCATAGCACGAAAACTGTCAAAGTTATTTGCAACCATATCGGAACCTCAAATTACCGCGTTTTTAAACATAGAACAATAATTCTACCGATCCTTCAAATTGACCATTTTTTAGACGAACACATTGTGCCACAAATGATATACCAAATTAAAGTGCAATCATAATGCTTTAAAATGATGCATAAATGACTGTCATAGCATGAAAACTGTCAAAGTTATTCACAACCATATCGGAACCTCAAATTACCGCCTTTTTAAACCTGGGAAAATAATTCTACCGATCTATCCAATTGGCCATTTTCTAAAAATACATTATGCAATAAATTATATACCAAAACAAATGGCAATTTTAATGCTTTAAAATGGTGCATAAACGACTGTCCTAGCACGAAAACTGCCAAAGTTAATTGCAACCATATCGGAACCTCAGATTACTGCGTTTATTAAACATAGAACAATAATTCTACCGATCTATCAAATTGACCAATTTGTAAAAATACACATTATGCTACAAATGATATACCATATTAAAGTGCAATCATAATGCTTTAAAATGATGCATAAATGATAAATGTCATAGCGTGAAAACTGTCAATGTTATTTGCAGCCATATCGGAACCTCAAACTACCGCGTTTTTAAAGCTGTGAAAATAATTCTACCGATCTATCCAATTGGCCATTTTCCAAAAATATATTATGGAATAAATTATATACCAAAGCAAATGGCAACTATAATGCAATAAAAAGATATATAAACGACTGTTATAACATGAAAACTATAAAAGTTATTTGCAACCATATCGGAGCCTTAAATTACCGCATTTTTGAACCTGTACCAATAAATAAACCGATCTATCCAATTTTTGTAAAAATTCATTATGCCACAAATTATACACCAAAATAAAGTGCAACTGTAATGCTTTAAAATGATGCGTAAACTAATGCCCTAGCATGAAAACTGTCAAAGTTATTTGCAACCATATCGGAACCTCAAATTACCGCGTTTTTAAACATAGAACAATAATTCTACCGATCCATCAAATTGACCATTTTTTAGACGAACACATTATGCCACAAATGATATACCAAATTAAAGTGCAATCATAATGCTCTAAACTGATGTACAAATGACTGTCATAGCATGAAAACTGTCCAAGTTATTCACAACCATATCGGAACCTCAAATTACCGCCTTTTTAAACCTGGGAAAATAATTCTACCGATCTATCCAATTGGCCATCTTCTAAAAATACATTATGCAATAAATTATATACCAAAACAAATGGCAACTAAAATGCAATAAAAAGATGTATAAACGACTGTTATAACATGAAAACTATAAAAGTTATTTGCAACCATATCGGGGCCTTAAATTACCGCATTTTTAAACCTGTACCAATAAATATACCGATCTATCCAATTTTTGTAAAAATTCATTATGCCACAAATTATACACAAAAACAAAGTGCAACTGTAATGCTTTAAAATGATGCATAAATGACTGTCATAGCATGAAAACTGTCAAAGTTATTCACAGCCATATAAAATAATTCTACCGATTTATCCAATTGGCCGTTTTCTAAAAATACATTATGCAATAAATTATATACCAAAACAAATGGCAATTTTAATGCTTTAAAATGGTGCATAAACGACTGTCCTAGCACGAAAACTGCCAAAGTTAATTGCAGCCATATCGGAACCTCAGATTACCGCGTTTATTAAACATAGAACAATAATTCTACCGATCTATCAAATTCACCAATTAGTAAAAACACACATTATGCTACAAATTATATACCATATTAAAGTGCAATCATAATGCTTTAAAATGAAGCATAAATGACTGTCATAGCATGAAAACTGTCAATGTTATTTGCAACCATATCGGAATCTCAAATTACCGCCTTTTTAAAGCTGTGAAAATAATTCTACCGATCTATCCAATTGGCAATTTTCTAAAAATATATTATGCAATAAATTATATACCAAAACAAATGGCAACTATAATGCAATAAAAAGATATATAAACGACTGTTATAACATGAAAACTATAAAAGTTATTTGCAACCATATCGGAGCCTTGAATTACCGCATTTTTAAACCTGTACCAATAAATATACCAACTTTTGTAAAAATTCATTATGCCAGAAATTATACACCAAAATAAAGTGCAACTGTAATGCTTTAAAATGATGCATAAATGACTGTCATAGCATGAAAACTGTCAAAGTTATTTACAACCATATCGGAACCTCAAATTACCGCGTTTTTAAACCTGGGAAAATAATTCTACCGATTTATCCAATTGGCCGTTTTCTAAAAATACATTATGCAATAAATTATATACCAAAACAAATGGCAATTTTAATGCTTTAAAATGGTGCATAAACGAGTGTCCTAGCACGAAAACTGCTAAAGTTAATTGCAGCCATATCGGAACCTCAGATTACCGCGTTTATTAAACATAGAACAATAATTCTACCGATCTATCAAATTCACTGTTGCGGCAAAAGTTAACAACAATAATAATAATGATAGCATAAAATAAATCAAATTAGTTAACATAAATATGTCAACTTATATTAGTTAACATAAACATGTCAACTCGTATGGAATTTGTAAACTCTTATTGAATTAGTAAACTTTAATGGAATTAGTAGACATGATTATGGTATTAGTAGACATGGTTATGGAATGAGTAGACATGGTTACTCATATGTACCAACTTAAGTTGGCATCACTGTTATTAAAAATACAACGATTCGACAGCGAGTACAACGATTGGCATAGAATATTTTTTTTATCACTCTTTTTTGGAAGCTGACTTCTTGTGGATAATTGCCTATAAGCCCAATGAAAATATAGTAAAATAAAATTAACTGAATTAAAATAAAAAGTTTCAAACTAAAAATAAAAAGATAACGTTTTTTTAAATTATTTACATAAATTCAACTAAACAAAGTTGAAACGAACATTGGCGCCCAACGTTAAAAGTTTAAACATATTTAATTAAAATTATTTTTGCTGGCGGTGGTTGCTGGTGGTGATCGGTGTTTGCTTGTGATAATTACTGTTGTCAGTATTAACCATTGTTTTCTGGTGGAGAATGCTGTATGCCAGCATTGAAGACTATTTTCTGGTGAAAATTGCTGTTGCTATTTCCCGATAGTGAGTGCTGTTCGTTGGTGGTGACTGCTGGTGGTGGGTGCTCTTACCATTCTCGTGAAGAAATTATTACGAGAGCTAAGCAAGTACAAACTGATAAGCAAAAGGTTGTATACATTTTATTTAATTATATATCATATTTTATTTAAAAAAAAAAAAAAAAACTTATACATACACACACATTCACATCCTCATACACACTGATTTGTCCACACAAACATAACCCCAAAATAACCATCCCGCATATTTTATCTAAATCAAACATTCTAATTTACACACTTTAATCTGTCCACAATAACCCTTATTAATTATCCCACACATTCACAATTCATTTCGATAATTATATTTTAATAATTGGAAAATTATAAAATAATTTTGTTACAGTTGTCCCCATAAATCAATCTTGTTGCTTTTGTCCGTGGTGTGGAATACTGTCCCAACAAGAAAATTCATTTAAAATCGGATGTCCAGTTCGTGTTAAAATTATTAATTTGAAGAATTGTTTTATTATTATTGAAGTTATTTAATGTTAACGATAAGTAAATAAAATTTATTTAATAAAGGGTTGTTTAAACAAAGTGGAAGAATTTTTAAAGCTTTTAAAGTCATTTACCTAATAAGTGAAAAAAAATTAAGTTGTTGAAAATTTTATTTTACAACGAAATCTAAACTGTCTTTATCTTAGTGAGAATATATTATAAAATATGTCCGAGGCCGAAAATCTTTCAACGTTGCAAAAGCAACGATCATCTGCTAAGGGTAATATAACAAGAATAAAAAATATGTATCTTGATGGTTCAGCTTCGTTAAACCCAATTGATGTCCAATGTAGATTAGAAATATTGAATTCATATATAAAACAATTAATGGCTTATCAGACTGAAATTGAAAAGTTATGTCCAGATGATAATGAACGCGGTGAATTGGAAGAAATCTGTATTAGTTGTAAAGCGTTATTGTTATCAAACCTAGGTAATCGGAGATCAAGTTTACCTCATGATTGTACTGTGAGTTTACCATTGCCATCTGCAAATCGTTTACCTTACTTGAAAATACCAAAGTTTAGTGGAAAATATTCAGAATATAAAAATTTTATATCTTGTTTTAATAATTTGGTTAACGATGATCCAACTTTGTCTACTATTGAGAAGTTTAACCATCTTATAAATAGCCTTCAAGATGATGCCCTACGTACAGTAAAAGCTTTTCAGGTCAACGAAGAGAATTACTCTAGCGCATTGCAAAGACTTCAAGAGAGGTATGATAACAATTGTCTTATATTTCAAGATCATATAGCATCATTATTCAATTTAAAGAAAATGGAAAAGCCGTGTAGTTCTGATTTAAGGAACATAGTAGATACGGTTTCAGCGATTTTAGATTCTCTTTCACACATTGGGTCTGATAAAGATATAACTAACGCTATAATAATTCATTTAGTTTTAACCAAATTGGATTCGGGCTCAAAGGAAAAGTGGGATGAGCAATTAGATTATAAAACACTACCTAAATGGACTGATTGCGCTTCCGTTTTAATTAAAAGATGTCAATTTTTAGATATTAATGGGGACAAGTCCTCGAGAACTGAGCAAAACTCAAGTAAACTTGTTAGACCGAAATTAAATAATGCAAATAACAATTTTAGGGATAGAAGAAATTCTACATTTTCGTTCACGTGTACAGAGCCCAAAGTGGATGAATGTACATTTTGTTCTGGTAAAGGACACTTTATTAGTTCTTGCTCAATATTTTCCAGTTTGACAGTGAAACAAAGATTCGAGTTTACAAAGAAGAAAGGACTGTGTATAAATTGTTTGCGATTTGGTCATTCAGTGCGAAGATGTCGTTTTTCACGTTGTAATATATGTCAAAGACCCCATCATGTTTTATTGCACAATGATGAATTAATTAAACAGTCTGATTCTGCTGCTATTGATAATAATAGTCCAGCACAATGTTCTCTTAATTCAAATAATAATGCTCAGCGTAATGAATTGCCTGCTACACAAAACAGTAGTTCAGCCCAACGTACTAACAGTAATATAAATTCAAGTTCAACTGGTGCTACAAGTCGTAATATTGCACAATTTACATGTTCTCAAGTGAACCAAAGGAATGATCGAAATACGACGACAATGTGTGTTTACGAAAACGATCGCCAAGTAATTTTAGCCACTGCTATCGTTCAAATTAAGGACAAGTGTGGTAATTATAAATTAGTTCGAGCACTTTTAGATTCTGGGTCACAGATTAACTTGATAACAGAAGAAATTGCCCAACAATTGCACTGAAAAGAGTTAATACTGACTTGAATATAGTTGGTGTAGGAAATAATAGTAGAAAAATTAAGCACAGTCTTCAAACTTACGTCAAATCTTGTGTAAGTGATTTTGAGTTCGATGCACAGTTTTATATCATTAAAACCATAACTAGTAAAAAACCCACGGAAAATATTGATATTAGTAGAATGGGAATTCCTGCTAATGTTATTTTAGCAGACCCAGAGTTCAATAGGCCACAAAAAATAGACATTTTAGTAGGAGCAGAATCCTTTTTTGAGTTGATGTTATTGGGAAAGATAAAGTTAGGACCTACATTGCCTATTTTACAAAAAACACTTCTCGGTTGGATTGTTTCGGGTACATATGGAGTGGATAATTATAGTAAACAGTCTCTATTATGTCAAATAACACTTAATGAAAAAGAACGAAAATTGGAAGCCCTCGATAGTTTAGTTAGAAAATTTTGGGAATTAGAGCAAATTCCTATGTGCTCAAGAATGACAGAAGAACAAATTTTGTGTGAAAGATATTATGATAGGACAACTCGTCGTCTTATTGATGGTAGATTTGAAGTTAGATTGCCTTTTAAAACAGACCCGAAAATATTAGGAAATTCTTACGAAATAGCAAAACGGCGTTTTCTTTATCTAGAGCGAAGATTAGCTAAAGATCACAAAATGAAGGAAATGTATGTGGATTTCATGAAAGAATATTTAAATCTTGGCCACATGTCGCTAGTTGAGAATATTAATCTAAGTCTACCTCATTATTTTATTCCGCATCAATGCGTGATAAAAGCTCATAGTACCACTACAAAATTGAGAGTTGTATTCGATGCGTCAAGTAAAACATCAACTCAAAAATCACTTAATGATACTCTTATGATTGGTCCTACCATACAAGATGATTTGTTCTCAATATTATTAAAATTTCGTTTGAACAAATTTGCCATAACGGCGGATATAACGAAAATGTATAGACAAGTCAGAATTCATGAGGACGATCGTAAGTATCAATTAATTTTATGGCGAGATAATCCTGAGTTTCCAATGCAAATTTATAAACTGAATACAGTAACTTATGGTACTGCTTCAGCGCCATTTCTTGCGATTCGATGTCTTAAAGAAATAAGTGATATTTTCAAAAATGTACTTCCTTTGGGATCACATGTTATAGCTAACGATTTTTATGTGGATGATCTGCTTTCAGGAGCAGACGAAATTAGCACTTTAAATGAAATTCAGAAGGAAGTAACTCAAATATTAAGTTCTTGTGGATTTAGAATTATGAGCTGCACACTTGTTAACGAAATTATGGTATGTAGTAAAGTTAAAGCTATCTATGTATGTAATTCAGGATATAACATTTTGGACTGATTCCGAGATAGTGCTTCATTGGATAAAAACCCATCCTTCTTCTCTACATACTTTCGTTAGTAACCGCGTATCAGAAATACAGCAAAATTCTTCAGATGCTATTTGGCGATATGTACCGTCGGCACATAATCCGGCTGATATTGTATCGCATGGATGCGATGTTAATGAACTTGTAAAGTCAATATGGTTTTTGGGACCGTCATTCCTGAAAGAATCGCCTGAAAAGTGGCCCAAGAATTCACATTTTGAACTTCCTCCAGAATCTTTGCTACTAGAAAAGAAAAAGTAGGTAAAAATTGGGACTATGAGAACATTATTGTTAGGTAAAGAATTTTCATCAGATCAAGGATCTGAAGTTCATTCGAATCGAATATACGAGATGATTGAAAACAAATCTTCGTCAAGAAAAGTGATTAGAATTGTTGCATATATTTTAAGATTTGTTAAAAGTATGAAAAATAAATGGCGTTCAAATAAGCAGCTCAATGGTAGTATAAAAGTACTTAATGTAAGCGAACTTCATTTTGCATTTTTGAAGATCATTGAAATGATTCAAAACATTGAATTTCGGGAGGAAATCAAGATATTGTCGAAAGCTTCATTAACAAAGCAGGTTAAGATCCAGAAATTAAATCCGTTTATACAGAAATATGCTGTAGAGAATATAAACATTTCTTTATTACGAGTTGGAGGACGATTAAGCAAAGCAATGCTTCCTTATGATTCTAAATTTCCATTAATTTTAAAAGGAACATCGCATTTTATAAAAATATTTTTCTTTGAATTACATAAATCAAACTGTCACGCAGGGCCTAAAGCATTAGTAGGACTTTCGCGAGAAAGAATTTGGGTAATAAATGCCCGTAAACTTGCTCGGAATACCGTTAATAACTGTATGTCATGTTTTTATTTTCGGCCGAAATTGGCTTCACAAATTATGGCCGATCTGCCTCAAGATCGAATAATTGGTTGTCGACCATTTTGGGTATGTGGTGTTGATTTGTGTGGTCCAGTATTAACATCATTAAGAATTAGAGGAAAACCGCCAGTAAAAACTTATATAGCAGTTTTTGTCTGCTTTGCGTCTAAAGCGGTTCATTTAGAAGCATTATCAGATTTGCAAACTGATACTTTTCTTTCTGCTTTAAATAGGTTTGTGGGAAGAAGAGGACTTCCGAAGAAAATATGGTGCGACAACGCCACAAATTTCGTCGGAACCGCCAGAGCGTGGAACGAGAAGGACAAGGTACGAGTTCAAGAGGCAACAATAGAGCAGGGAGTAGAATTCCAGTTCATACCGCCGCGAGCGCCGCACTTCGGAAGGTTGTGGGAAGCAGCGGTGAAATCAGCGAAAGCATTACTACTTCGAACCATAGGCAAGGCAAATTTAACATTCGAAGAGTTGACCACAGCCCTGTTCGACGTCGAAGCCGTACTCAATTCTCGTCCAATCGTTGCGTTGACAGAAGACCCCAACGACGAAGAAGCCATTACTCCAGGTCATTTACTAATAGGCTCATCGCTCAAAGCGCTGCCAGAAATAGAAGGGCGAGGCAACAAGGGCGGCTCCTTAAAGCGTTTTCGGCTGCTGTCATCGCTCAAGGAACACTTTTGGGCTGTGTGGCAACGGGACTTACAACAACGAGCCAAATGGACAACAACCTCAAAGTCGGCGACGTCGTTATTGTCCACGAAGACAATCTTCCTCCTCAGAAGTGGGTACTCGGCAAAATAGAGTCCGTAGAATTCGGCAGCGATGGAATGGTTCGAGTAGCCACGGTAAAAACAAAAGGCGGTATAAATAAAAGGCCTATACAAAAACTAGCTCCGCTCCCATTTAATGAATTGAAGACTAGTAGTGAAACATAGTCTTGCAAAGTGGGCGGTGTTGCGGCAAAAGTTAACAACAATAATAATAATGATAGCATAAAATAAATCAAATTAGTTAACATAAATATGTCAACTTATATTAGTTAACATAAACATGTCAACTCGTATGGAATTTGTAAACTCTTATTGAATTAGTAAACTTTTATGGAATTAGTAGACATGATTATGGTATTAGTAGACATGGTTATGGAATGAGTAGACATGGTTATGGAATGAGTAGACATGGTTACTCATATGTACCAACTTAAGTTGGCATCACTGTTATTAAAAATGCAACGATTCGACAGCGAGTACAACGATTGGCATAGAATATTTTTTTTATCACTCTTTTTTGGAAGCTGACTTCTTGTGGATAATTGCCTATAAGGCCAATGAAAATATAGTAAAATAGAATTAACTGAATTAAAATAAAAAGTTTCAAACTAAAAATAAAAAGATAACGTTTTTTAAATTATTTACATAAATTCAACTAAACAAAGTTGAAACGAACATTCACCAATTAGTAAAAACACACATTATGCTACGAATTATATACCATATTAAAGTGCAATCATAATGCTTTAAAATAAAGCATAAATGACTGTCATAGCATGAAAACTGTCAATGTTATTTGCAACCATATCAGAACCTCAAATTACCGCGTTTTTAAAGCTGTGAAAATAATTCTACCGATCTATCCAATTGGCAATTTTCTAAAAATATATTATGCAATAAATTATATACCAAAACAAATGGCAACTATAATGCAATAAAAAGATATATAAACGACTGTTATAACATGAAAACTATAAAAGTTATTTCCAACCATATCGGAGCCTTGAATTACCGCATTTTTAAACCTATACCAATAAATATACCGATCTATCCAACTTTTGTAAAAATTCATTATGCCACAAATTATACACCAAAATAAAGTGCAACTGTAATGCTTTAAAATGATGCAACAAACTATTGCCCTAGCATGAAAACTGTCAAAGTTATTTGCAACCATATCGGAACCTCAAATTACCGCGTTTTTAAACATAGAACAATAATTCTACCGATCCATCAAATTGACCATTTTTTAGACGAACACATTATGATATACCAAATTAAAGTGCAATCATAATGCTCTAAACTGATGCATAAATGACTGTCATAGCATGAAAACTGTCAAAGTTATTCACAACCATATCGGAACCTCAAATTACCGCCTTTTTAAACCTGGGAAAATAATTCTACCGATCTATCCAATCGGCCATTTTCTTAAAATATGTTATGCAATAAATTATATACCAAAACAAATGGCAATTTTAATGCTTTAAAATGGTGCATAAACGAAACGAAAACTGCCAAAGTTAATTGCAACCATATCGGAACCTCAGATTACTGCTTTTATTAAACATAGAACAATAATTCTACCGATCTATCAAATTGACCAATTTGTAAAAACACACATTATGCTACAAATTATATACCATATTAAAGTGCAATCATAATGCTTTAAAATGATGCATAAATGACTGTCATAGCATGAAAACTGTCAAAGTTATTTGCAACCATATCGGAACCTCAAGTTACCGCCTTTTTTAAAGCTGTGAAAATAATTCTACCGATCTATCCAATTGGCAATTTTCTAAAAATATATTGTGCAATAAATTATATACCAAAACAAATGGCAACTATAATGCAATAAAAAGATATATAAACGACTGTTATAACATGAAAACTATAAAAGTTATTTGCAACCATATCGGAGCCTTGAATTACCGCATTTTTAAACCTGTACCAATAAATATACCGATCTATCCAACTTTTGTAAAAATTCATTATTCCACAAATTATACACCAAAATAAAATGCAACTGTAATGCTTTAAAATGATGCATAAACGTCTGTCCTAGCACGAAAACTGCTAAAGTTAATTGCAACCATATCGGAACCTCAGATTACTGCTTTTATTAAACATAGAACAATAATTCTACCGATCCATCAAATTGACCATTTTTTAGACGAACACATTATGCCACAAATGATATACCAAATTAAAGTGCAATCATAATGCTCTAAACTGATGCATAAATGACTGTCATAGCATGAAAACTGTCAAAGTAATTCACAACCATATCGGAACCTCAAATTACCGCCTTTTTAAACCTGGGAAAATAATTCTATCGATCTATCCAATAGGCCGTCTTCTAAAAATACATTATGCAATAAGTTATATACCAAAACAAATGGCAACTAAAATGCAATAAAAAGATGTATAAACGACTGTTATAAAATGAAAACTATAAAAGTTATTTGCAACCATATCGGGGCCTTAAATTACCGCATTTTTAAACCTGTACCAATAAATATACCGATCTATCCAATTTTTGTAAAAATTCATTATGCCACAAATTATACACAAAAACAAAGTGCAACTGTAATGCTTTAAAATGATGCATAAATGACTGTCATAGCATGAAAACTGTCAAAGTTATTCACAACCATATAGGAACCTCAAATTACCGCGTTTTTAAACCTGGGAAAATAATTCTACCGATTTATCCAATTGGCCGTTTTCTAAAAATACATTATGCAATAAATTATATACCAAAACAAATGGCAATTTTAATGCTTTAAAATGGTGCATAAACGACTGTCCTAGCACGAAAACTGCCAAAGTTAATTGCAGCCATATCGGAACCTCAGATTACCGCGTTTATTAAACATAGAACAATAATTCTACCGATCTATCAAATTCACTGTTTATTTAGGGGTTAGAGGGAGATGGGTAGATGGGTACTTACGCGGGAATTAGAGGAAGGGTAAATAAGCAAGGCTTGGGAATTTTTTTTCTTAAAAAACGTTATAAACCGTATATATGTTTATTGAACTTTTGGGTAAGTATATAAGGTAAGTATATAGGGTAGGTATATAGGGTAAGTACTTTTAGGTTATAAATTCAGGTTTTATTTTAGTTGTAAGTATTTATGTATATGTTTTAGGGTAAGTATTTTATATAAATAACACTGTGATACACTGATCTGTGATAAATTTGTTTTTAATTAGTATTTAAGTTTTAGTATTTTACTTTTACTTAGGTTTAGGGTTTTTAATACTTGGTTTAAGTTTTACCACTAGTGTTTAGTTTTAATAAGTTAAGTTTATTATTTATTTATTTATTTATTTATTTAACTTTAGAATTTGATTCGCTGTTGTAGGGTTTGTTGTTTTGTTTGTTTGTTCGTTTAGCGCACACACTTTTTGTTCTTCTCACAGGTGGATTAGAATAGAAGTAAGTTAAAGATGAAGGCCAAAGCTGCAGCTGACGTTCATATGTAGATGAAGTTGGCTGCAGTTATGTGTGGGTATTAAATGACGTCAGGGATGGACAGTGTTATGTGTTCACTGATGTGAACATCCTCCCGGGCCTGGCAACCTGTGAAGAGAAAAGGAAAATTATTTTTATTTATTCAATAAAAATGGTGTAGGGTAATAGGGTAAATTATGCATGTAAAATACTTCATTGTGTGCGGGTTTATTGGGTAGATGATCCCATGACCAGCCAGCCAAGGGTGGAATCCTGGGCTATAAGTGATCCCCCGTCAATGTGAATCACATTCGGTTGTAGGATGCTTGTGTAAAGGTCTCCACCAATTTCCATGGAGACTGGGTTGTTGGAGTAAAACTCCGGGTCAGCCAGCGATATGCGACACAATTTACTTTTAATTGTTTCGTCCATGGGGCTTGGATATGGGGTTTTTGGCAGATCCTTAACCACCTCCATGCAAACCTCGTATCGGAGGCTTGAGGAATAATTTGGTGCAATTAACACCTTCACAAACACCTCTTTGTCGATTTTGAAGGGAGCTAGGGAACTTTCACTAACAAAGACGGCTGCTATTCTAGACTTAGTCAAGCTAGGATTTAGTATTGCCCTTGCCCGCCGACTTCCTACCTGCACAACTGCTGTAGGAACAAACGTTTTCATCATCGACGTTGTTACCGGTGTTGTAACTTTCACGATGTCTAATGATCGTCTTGGAGCTGGTGTGGGTGGAGTTCTTGGTGCCGGAGTTGGTGGAGGGGATTGGTCCTGGGTCAAATTCTTTAAAATCCTATTTGGACCATGTAGGGTGGAGTGGTGTTTACCACCACATTGTTGGCAACGAGCCTTACTCGTGCAACCGCCAATGAGATGGTTCCTCGCCAAACAATTGACGCAGTAGTGCAATTTAACTGCGGTTTTGTATTTCTCCGCCAAGTTCATCTTTTGGAACTTTCGACAGTTTGTTAAGCTGTGATCGGCTTGACAAATACCGCAACCAAAATGGCGTTTTGGTTGACGTTTATCGTTTTTGCGGTTGGGTTTGGGCCGAGATCCATTGCGGCTGGAACGGTTGGAACGTCCTTTACGATTGTTGTTGTTATTGGGTGCCATATTCTGTATAAAAGAAATTATGTGTGAATGAATGAAGTGTAATGAATGTGTTAGTGGGTTAGGGTGAAGGGTTAAACGATTCATAATAAATTTGGGTTAGTTAGGGTGGTTAGTTGAGCTAGTTAGTGATGATATTGTTATTTTGGGTTAGGGTTTGAGTAAAAGTATTAGACTAATTAGCGGGTAAAACAACAATTTTAGTAATTGGTCGGGTTAGAGTTCCAGTTGAAGTTTGTAAGTCAACTACTCTACTTTCTACCATCAGAACCAGGGTGTGTTTTGGTCACACGTCCAAGTAACCATTCATTGGGTGCTAAATTGTCTTGTCTAATTACTACAATATCACCTATTTCAACTTCTCGGGTAGGGTTTTTCCACTTATATCTTTTATGGAGCTCTTTAAGATATTCATCTTTCCATCTTTTACAAAAGTTGTGATGTTGTATCCTTAATTTTTGCCATCTGTTTGCCAGGGTTATATTATCACTGCTTGTGTCGGGTTCTGCAGGGGTAAGTATGGGTGAGCCAATTAAAAAGTGTCCAGGGGTTAACGGGTTAAGATCCTGAGGGTTTTCACTTGACGGGCTTAAGGGTCTCGAGTTTAGACATCCTTCTATTCTGGCAAGGAGTGTAGCTAGCTCTTCAAATGTATATTTTAGGGTATTTATTTTCTTCAAATGAGCTTTAAAGCTTTTAACTCCTGCCTCCCATAAACCGCCCATGTGTGGTGCACCTGGGGGTATAAAATGCCACGTCAAATTCTGAAAACTGCTAGTGGTACGATAACGGAACCTTTCAATTGCCTGTATGAATTCCTGTCGCTCTTTCTTCAATAGCTTACTAGCTCCAATGAAATTTGTCCCATTGTCCGAGTAAATGGCGACAGGGCATCCCCGCCTCGAAAAAAATCGAGCGAAGGCTGCCATAAAGGCTTGGGTAGACAAATCAGATGTTGGCTCCAAGTGGATGGCTTTTGTTGCAAAGCAAACAAAAACACAAACGTAACCTTTCGTTATTTTACAAGTTCTGCCACTATATGCTTTGACGTCAAATGGTCCTGCAAAATCAACTCCAACATTTGTAAAAGCTTTATCAATTTGGGTTCTTTCTGGTGGCAACGCCGCCATAAATTGGGTTGTTTGTCTATTCCTATATCTTATGCAGGGTGAGCATTTGTTAACAACATTACTAATCAGATTCTTAAGTTTCGGAATCCAATATCCTGATCGGATTATTCTCAACATAAGTTGATTTCCACCATGCAGGGTTACCAGGTGGACGTGTTGTACTAGTAATTTAGCAAATGCACTTTTATAGGGTATTAATATTGGGTGTCTTTCGGAATAGGACAAACTGTTGGAATTTGCTAGTCTACCATTTGCACGCATTATCATTGCAGAATCTAAAAATGGAGTTAGGGTAAGCAGGTCACTTTTGTTGGGTATAGGGTATTTTCTCTTCAAACAGTTATATTCGTTGTTGAAATATTCTGTCTGACAAAGAATAATAAGTCTATCACGGGTAGATTTGATCTCTGACGCATCAAGTTCAATACTTGGGTGGGTAGTTAATAAACGTAGTCTATCATTGACTAGTTGTGGGTTATTTCGATCAAGAATAACTCTATCATTTCGAATTGTATTTCTTCGGGTATATGATGCGCGATCACAAAATCGATAGACATATGTCATTACTCTTAGAGCTTTTGACAATTTCGAAAATCTTGATAATATATCTGGGTTTTCAGTATTCGTATCTAAGGTAGGGTGGGTATTAACTGTCGTAGTAAACGACTGACTAACTTTAGCTTCAGCTTGAGTAATAAAGTGTTTATCTGTTGTTGGCCACTTCGACGCGACTTCTTTCAACCACGATGGTCCATTCCACCATAAAGTGTCATCTTTTAACTCATCAGCATTACATCCTCGGCTAGCAACATCGGCAGGATTATCGTGTGAAGCAACATGATTCCAGTTATCTACTCCTACTGTTTGTAGAATTGTTGAAACTCTGTTTGCCACAAATGTATTCCACGAGTTAGGGTGTTTACTAAGCCAGGCCAAAACTATAGATGAGTCGGTCCAGAAATACGTCTGATGTAAGGGTAGGTTGAGTTGGGTGAGTACATTGTGTGTCATATTTGCCAACAACACTGCACCACAAAGTTCAAGTTTTGGTAACGAGATTACTTTGATTGGCGCAACTCTCGTCTTAGCGAAGAGTAGGGTTACGGAATTAGGTCCGTCTATGGGTGTTACTCGTGCATATAGACATGCAGAGTATGCCTTTTCAGAAGCATCTGAAAAACCATGAAACTCAATTTTTGCTGAAGGTGAAAAGTTAATCCATCTTGGAATACGAATTCTATTAATATTATCGTAGAACTGCAAAAACTTTTGCCATTTTATAAGGGTGAGTGGGTTAAGACATTCATCCCAAGCTGTATTATCTTGCCAAATTTGCTGCATAATAATCTTGGCAGATATAACAATTGGCGCTAACCAACCAGCTGGGTCAAAAAGACGAGCAATGTCTGATAACACAGTTCGCTTTGTGTATGCTGATTTTCTTTCAATTAAGGGTACATTAAAGAAAAACGTATCTTCCTTAGCGTTCCAACGAATGCCTAACGTTTTAGCATTATTTGATTCGGGTAGGGTGAGTAAATCAACATCTAGTAGATGTTCTTCGGGTAAATTGTGTAATAATTCCTTTGTATTGGAAATCCATTTTCTTAAAGGAAAACCAGCAGAGTCTAGAGCCGCGATCAATTGGGTTTGAGCTTTTTGAGCTTCTTCAATTGTGTGACCTCCGGCTAAGACATCATCAACATACATGTTGTTTCGCAATATTTGCGAAGCTATAGGGTGGGTATTTTGAATGTCATCGGCTAATTTGTGTAGGGTTCTAATAGCCAAATATGGTGCACAGTTAACACCAAATGTAACTGTTTGCAGTTCATAATCTTGAATGGGTTCGTTGACGCTTTTACGGAATAATATCCGTTGGAAGGGTGTGTGGGTAGGGTTTAGCATAATTTGCCGGTACATTTTTGTAATGTCGGCATTATAAACTATCTTGTAAAAGCGCCATTTCAAGATAAGTACAACTAAATCTTGTTGTAGGGTAGGACCAGTGTGTAGGGTATCATTAAGACTGTTGCTGTTCGAGGTTTTGCTAGATGCATTAAATACAACTCGAACTTTTGTCGTAACACGATCAAGTTTAACAACAGCGTGATGGGGTAAATAATAATGGGTGTTTGAAGGAGTGTTTGGGTTATATTTAATTGGTTTCATATGACCTAAATCGATATACTCTTGTAGGACGTTATCATACTCCATTTTAAGCTCTGGCTTTTTCATTAAACTTTTCTCGTTACGTAGAAATTGAGCCATAGCAACGTGTCTAGAGTTTCCTAACTCAACAGGAGGGTATATAAATGGTAAATTTACCTGATAACGGCCATTTGGTAATCGAAGGGTAGTGGTCTTGAAAGTTTCTTCACATAAAGAACTTTCTTCTGAAACTTTGGGTTGGGTGGGTACATCTTCAATTTCCCAGAACTTGGTCAAAACTTTATCAAGCGTGACTGAACTGAAGTATGAAACTAAGGGTTGGTTATTTTGCGAATTCTGAACGGGTCCTGTTAAAATCCAGCCAAACTCAGTTTCCTGAGCTATAAGGGTATTAAGTAAGTCTTTTCTGACTCCAGATTTTAGAATCTGTGGGTAAAAATCGCTGCCAATAATAAAGTCTATAGGTCGACTTTCATAGAACCTTTTGGTCAGCTAATTGAATATTTTCCAAGTCTTGTATTAGGGTGGGGTTTAAGTTTTGGGTGGGTAAGTTTTTGGTTAATGTTTTAACAACAATAGCTTGGATATTCAATTTAAATTCAGTTTTGGGTGTTAGAGCGCAATAAAACTTGACATAATTTATTCGAACGAGCTGAAACTATTTCAGTTCAATCCTGATATTTCAGCAACTATGGGTGTAGTGGGTAATTTTAGCTTCCTTCTCAGTTTATCTGTGATAAACGAGAAGTCTGAAGCTGGGTCAATAAGCGCTCTAGCTGGAAATAAGTTCACCTTGAACTTCAACATTCAGAACTGCAGTTCCTAATAACTTTGTTCTGTCATCTATGGGTATGGGTTTGCTTGATTGGGTGTGGGTTGAGAAAGACTGTACTGCGTTTTGTGATGTTGACGCCTGAGTATTTTCAACATGTGGGTTAGGGTTAGAGTTCGGCTTGTGTAAAAGCGAATTATGTTTACCGCCGCAATATCTACACTTAAATGCGCTATAACAATCTTTTATGACATGTCCAGTAGCTAAACAATTGTAACAAATTCCATTCTCATTTACAAATTCAATTCTTTGGTTTAATCCTAAAGAATTAAATGAAGAACATTCTCTTAGGGTGTGATTCTTTTCACAAAGTTTGCAAATGGACCCATAGAGTTTAGTTTGGGTGTTTTGGGTATTTGGTTTCTTTTGGGTATTTTGGGCATTTGCATTCTTTTGGGTATTTGAATTGGGTATATGGTTTGGGTTAGAGAATTTTTGTTCATTTTGAGGTTTGGGGTTTGGGTGGGGTTTCTTTGAAGAATGGGTTACATTGTGAAACGCTTTGGCTCTTCTGTCAGGGTTATATTTTGTTTCAGTAAATTGTTTGGTTTTAGGGGGTGTTGGGTGGGTATTAGGATTCGAATCTGGAACATCGTTTACTGATGTAAGTTCCTTAAAAGTGTTCGTTAAGAACACATCAAGATTCGTCCATGGCGGCATTTCAGCGCTATCATTGAGAGTTTTCTCAAACTCTCTTCGGGTTTCTTTGGGTAATTTTGATAAGCAAAGATATACAAAGATAGGATCCCAATTATCCGTATCAATTTCTAATGAATTTAAATTAGCAATACAACAATTAATCTTTCTCTGAAGCTTTCTTATAGAAGCACTGCACATGGTGCTTACTGTGGGTAAATTAAAAAGTGTTTTCAATTGCGCATTGATTTGCATTCGTCTATTTTCAAATTGAGAGACGAGTTGGGTCCACGCAATGAGAAAGCCATCATTAGTTAGGGGTGCGTTGTCAACGATTTCTTTGGCTTCGCCGCTCGTTTTTTGCTTAAGATAGAAGAGTTTTTCAACTCCACTTAAGCGTGTGTTGTTACCATAAATGGCCTTAAAAAGATCCCGGAAAGAAGCCCAAGATTTAAAATCTCCATGAAATGTAGGCATATCGCATGGGGGTACATTGAAGGCTACGGAATTGTTGGGTTGTGGGGGTTCGGGTAATGAGGCTCGGGTATCATTGGCCTTAGTAATCTCTTCAATAGATTCATCTATTGAGATCATACTAGTTCTATAAAAATTTCTGGCAGATCTATAATGATGCACAACTTCCGTTAAATTGATTGTTTCAGCCTTCTTTGGATCGAGTAAATCTGCGGATTCTCTAATTTGAGTGAATTTATGGTCAATTTTAGACCATAAATCACTTAATTCACGTTTTTTGAATTTGAGTGCGGGTAGCGATTGAAAACTTTCCGGAGAGGAGCGATAATCTTCCTCAAAAGACTCCAAATCCATTTGGATATATCGCATTAAAGTGGCGGCCAAAGATTTTAAATCGGACATATTGGGTTAATTTATTCAAAAAAATCTACAAAAAATTTGTAACAGCAAACTTTAAATTTCCGACAGGGTATTTTATGTGTGTATGGGTATGCTACACAATTCGGGTGGTAATATTAGCTTAATCAAGCAATATATAAAAATATTTCCAAAAAAGTTTTTAATAGGGTGGGTGGGTGAGTGGGTTTTTGAATAGAAAATATTTTTATATTATATTGCTTGACAAATAAAACTAATATAATACAAAAAAAATGGAAATTTAAATATTATTAGTAAGTTGTAAAAAATACACTTACCTTGTTTGCTGGGGGTAGGGTACAAACCTTCACAAGAGATAAACCAAAAAAAAATCTCTTGTGTTGTCGATTCTTCTTTACACCTTCTTCCCGCTATGATGTATGTTGATCTTGTGTGTAGTGTTGCTGTTGTAATATGTAAGCTGGGTCTGGTATGTATGTTTAAGCGTGTGTATATGTTTTGTGTGTGTTTTATTTCTTGTTTATTTTGCGTATTAATGTTTTTTAATATTTTTAAAAATATGTACAGTGTGTGTTATATATGTAATTTTTTTGATATTTAAATTGTTATTTATTTTTGTTTTAATAAAGTTTGCGTATATATATTTATAAATAATTATTTGTTAATTTAAATGTAATTTGTGTATGTTTTTGTGTAGTTTTTTATTTTATTAACAATTTCTAATATATTTAACAAACGGTATGTGGGTATTTATAAATGAAAAAAAAAAAAAAACTATTTTCTGTTTCACTGTATTTTTTGTTGTGTGTCTTTTGTTAATAATATTTGTTTTTATTTTTAATGTATATTTTTTTTTTATTTTCACTGTTTTTATGTGGAACTGTGTTTTTGTGTTCTATGTTTATTTTAAATTTGTTTAAATTTTATTTATTGTAATTTTTGTTATCTTTTGTAACTTTTTGTTTATTTGTACAATTTATTGTTTTTTTTTTTTTTTCAATTTTTTTTTTTTTACGCAATTTAATTTAGTTTATATTATTTATATTCTTTGGTTTGTAGGGTATTTAAATTTTTATTTAAGGGTGGGTTTTTTATTTTTTAATTTTTCACATACACTTTTAGCTTACTTTCAACACTTCACTTTCTTCACACTTTTTATTTTTTAAGCTTACTTTCTTTTCAGCTTTATTTTTGTGGACTGTAATTTATGTATGTAGCCGTTTCTTTTTTAAAGGCTCGTTTGGACCAATGTTTATTTAGGGGTTAGAGGGAGATGGGTAGATGGGTACTTACGCGGGAATTAGAGGAAGGGTAAATAAGAAAGGCTTGGGATTTTTTTGTAAAACGTTATAATACTTATGTATTTATGTTTATTGAACTTTTGGGTAAGTATATAAGGTAAGTATATAGGGTAGGTATATAGGGTAAGTATTTTTAGGTTATAAATTCAGGTTTTATTTTAGTTGTAAGTATTTATGTATATGTTTTAGGGTAAGTATTTTATATAAATAACACTGTGATACACTGATCTGTGATACATTTGTTTTTAATTAGTATTTAAGTTTTAGTATTTTACTTTTACTTAGGTTTAGGGTTTTTAATACTTGGTTTAAGTTTTACCACTAGTGTTTAGTTTTAATAAGTTAAGTTTATTATTTATTTATTTATTTATTTAACTTTAGAATTTGATTCGTAGGGTTTGTTGTTTTGTTTGTTGTAGGGTTTGTTGTTTTGTTTGTTGTAGGGTTTGTTGTTTTGTTTGTTTGTTCGTTTAGCGCACACACTTTTTGTTCTTCTCACAGGTGGATTAGAATAGAAGTAAGTTAAAGCTGAAGGCCAAAGCTGCAGCTGACGTTCATATGTAGATGAAGTTGGCTGCAGTTATGTGTGGGTATTAAATGACGTCAGGGATGGACAGTGTTATGTGTTCACTGATGTGAACAGTCACTAAACCCAAATTTCCAACGAAATCTTAAAATATGTACTTAACATGATTGTAAGTACTTAAGGTTTCTCTTTCATTTAAAATTTACTACTTCTGAAGTCATTCTTAGGAAGTCATTTTTATGTTTTCTATTGGAAGTGCTTTTTACGAATTGCAAAATTGTGTAGATATTAATAAAAACAGAATATTGTTTACTTTTTGTAATTTTTCGCGACAGACCAGTAGGGGTCCGCGTACCCCAATTTCGAAACCGTTGGATTACATGAACAGTCAGTGGTCTAAGAACATGTCATTTTTACGAATGTAAATCTAGAATAACTTTCCTGACACACTGTACTACATTTACGTTTATACTTGTGTGTATAAACAAAAATACAACTTCTTATATTAAAGAATAAAATCTTAAAGAAACATCTCTGCTTAGTAAAAAGTTAAATGCATCTGTTACATGTTCAAGTTGAAAAGAAAAACTTTTTAAGTTAATTTACTTTGTATTTAAAAATCTGCTACTAAATTTAGCTCCATTTTTGTTCTCTTCCTAGACCTTAATGAATTCTCTACCAAAACTATACTAAAGTAAATTGTGTACAAAAAAAAAGTAAGGGAAAAAATAAACAGAAAAAGAAAATGGTAACCCACAATGGGTTACGAGACATTTAACCAGATTTTGTGGTTACAACTAAAGTTGGACCTAAGTTGCAGCTGACTCGAGTAAAAACAAAACATCAACCATCAGGACAACAACATGCATACTAACAGACATAGAAGTGCAACATAAGGAACTCAGATAAATAGTTTACCTTACGAATACGTCATGCATTTATACATACATATGTACATATGTATGTATGTATGTTTGTATGTTTGTAGAAAATGTAAAGCTTTTAGCTCTCTTACAATTAAAGCCAACTTTTAGAATGTTCGTACATGAATCAGTTGACGTGAAATTAGGTTTTTTACATGTTTCCAAATGGGAGATCGTCCTTAGAGTATTTATCTACACTCACACTCAAAACATTTACATCTGTATAACATAGGTTTATTGTTCCTGGTGATGATGATGGTCACCGACATTGAAGTTCAAAAAATAAACTAGATTGTACGAGTAAAATGTACAAACACAAGTACATGTTTCAATATATATGCATATACATTTTTACATATGTACAATACATTTGCAAATTAATACATACATATACATATTTAAACATATCTACAGATACAAATGACACATACACTCACACACATATGCAATATACATACATACATACATACATACATACATTTTACTCTAAATAGTAAACACTTTACCCTCCATGAACATCTGTATATTTTAATAGTTTTTTAATAATGAAAGTACATTTCTTAGTTTTAGTTAACAGGGTTTTAATTATTTATGTCATTCATTAAATAATTTGTTAACTAGTGAAAAAAATCTGAACTTGGTTGGAAATAAAAATATGATTGTTAAACAAAACAAGTAAAAAAATATATATTATCAGACATGTATATTGAGACCAGCTAGTTCCTTAAAATGACATTTTTATATGTATTATCATATGAGAATTCGGAACAAGGAACTTTGATTAGAATTTTAAAATTTGTACGAACAAAATATAAATTTATTACAAATTTTTGTTGTCTCTGAAAGGATTTTTGCTAATAATGGCTTCAAAAACTTTTTAAAATTACAATTGTTTTTGTTTGTTTTTCAACTTAATTCTAAAATATAAGGTCGTCCATTTCCAAATGAAAAAAAATTTAAGTTTTGCACCAAGGTTAGTAGGCCAGAAACAAATTTTCAGCTCTATCAGTCAGGAACTGCCGGAGTCAGAGGGTTCAAAGTTGGACATTTTGGTCATACAGGATTTTATTCAAATGAGTGTAACTTTTCACCTATTGGTCCTAGCAAAAATTGTGCAAAGGAGTTCAGATAGCTAGTTCTTCATTCTTTGCAATTTTTTTTTTAATTTTTTAAAAATTAAAAAAAAAAATACAACAAAAAAGATATCCCACCCATTATGGGACTATAAAGCCCCCAAGGAAATTGTATAAGCTTTCTTTTAAACAAAAAAGTGGGCATTTTGAAAAAAAAAATAAAAAAGAAAATTTTGAATTATTTTTTTCTCAAAGAATGAAGAAATAGCTATCTGAATTCCTTTGGACAATTTTTGCTTGGACCAATAGGTGAAAAGTTACACTCATTGAAATAAAATCCTGTAGGACCAAAATGTCCAACTTTGACCCCCTCTAAGTGCGGCAGTTCTTGACTGATAGAGCTGTCTGACCTACTACCCAAAAGTACTGATCGTAGGGCAAATTTTGTCAAAATCGGTTTTTTGCTTTGTTTGAGTATCTCCGTATTTGACACGACCTTTAAAAGGGAGTATGATATTACATTTTTCGCTCTAAGATTATGTTTTAGGATCTGGTAAAAGTCATATAAACATATTTTTTTAAATTATTATGGTACTTTTAAAGTACATTCGAAATAAAAACCAGGAGACATAAACAGAGCTAGTTCTTTGGCTACTTATTTAAGGCTTCAATCCAAACACTGATCAATTAATTCAATCCCTTAAAGGCCGGTGAGCTTAAAATTCTGATTAAATATTAAGATTATTTTTCTTGTAACTCCCTAGGTTAAAAAACACTGGAAATTGTCATATTCACAGATTTTAAACATTAAAAAATAATAAATTTAATACAAATAATATTTTCCTTTATCAGTAGTAAACTGTTTTCCTACTCATAATGTGGTAGATTTTTCAATTCAGTTTGTAAATTCTGTATGAAATGTCAATAATTTTACACTGAAATATTGTATACACTATAGGTCAAAACTGTAAGTTCGCATCGCAATCATTTACAATGTGTTTAGAAAAACAAATAACTTACTTTAGTTACAACAACGTAAGACTCTACCACTGCTTTAAATAACGGTACCGACACTGGTACATAAGCTACTTTTACATTATACCACAAGTAATATGGTCAAAATAGTAATGAATGAGTTTATGTAAACCAGAGGAGCTCAATATTGCCATTACATAGCACGCGTGATAGGGTAAGAAA